ATTTTCTATGATCCTCAAGGTATACAATTAAAGAATTTTCTATGATCCTGAAGGTACATGAGTTACCAATTTTCTATGATCCGAAAGGAATACCAGTAAGGAATTTTCTATGATCCTGAAGGTATATCAGTAAGGAATTTTCTATGATCCCAAAGGTTTACCACTATGGAATTTTCTATGCTCCCGAAGGTATACCGGTAAGAAATCGTGAAACAGATCAAAATCTCATTTAGTGATAAGGCTGTTGCATGAAGCTGCCTTGTTGGTGAACTGGTGCGTTGCTATTTCTCAAAGGCAACTAAGAAAAGCCACATGGGGTCCCAGTTTTGACGAAAAGGTGGCACATAAATTAGCATGATGATGATGATGATGATGATGATATAATTTAATTATCAATTGGTTCTCATTTCAAAAAATACTAAGTCAGTTACTTTTAGTGACTTTTTACAGTTATGATTGCTGGTTGTGTATTGATGCCATTTAACACACGGGTTGCATTGCACGATTTGCTGCACAACTCTACATGGGGAGATGTATCCCAGCCAACCCTGGCGTAAGACCGCCATCGCCTGTGCGATAGTTGCACGCAAGCCGGAGGCTTCCATCCACAAATCCACGGCCCCCACAAATCAATAGCAACCAAGTCGGCTAAGGGAGGGCTTGGAGGAGGAGAGCTTTCTTTCCTTGTGGAACCTCTTGCCAATTTATATTGGAAATGTGGCCTTTGGGAGCTTTCTTATTGCTGCATCATTTCATACATTTTGAACTGTGGCTCAGAACATTGCTGAAAGGGTATCGAAGGCTATTTGCTTATAATTGCTCTGTGCATGAGCGAGGGACCCAGGAGAGCATCTCCATAAAATAAAAGAGAACCCTGACCATCTGCAGCTTCACTGTGCAAGGCAAAAACCCAACCGTAATATAAAATGATACATTGGCAATCTAAAAAAGAATGGATCACTGCAGCACTTTTTAAACCGAACCTCTGGCCAGGGATTGCATATATATATATATATATATATTCTAGCC